ATGAGCATTTGATTTTGGATCGAATCAAATGCTCATTCACAATTGTGAAAATGAGAAAAAAAAAGAATTCACTCTTGATTCACACTGATTCTGGTTTTTGTTTCCAAATGAAATGAAAATTTACTAATATATACAAATGACAGAAAGGGGGTTAATGGCGGCAGCAGTAGTAGTGGTAATGATTGAAGGAAAAAAAGAGTTGTCAGAAATTCTGGCACCATTCAAGTGTAATAATAATTTTTACAAATTATTCAATGGAAAAATGGTAAAAAAACCCAAGTGTTAAGTAGTCAAATTATAATGATGATGATGATGATGTAGTGGTAGTGACTATTGTGGTGGTGAAATCAAATTGCAAAATTATTCAAAATCACAGCTTTTTTCGGCTTAAATGCAGAAAAAAAACAAAACAAAAACCAATTACAATCGATTTGTTGTTGTTGTTGTTGTTTTTTGAAAATTTACAAATGGTCTGTGTGTTTGTGAAAGAAAAAATCTTGAATTCAGGAGGAATTAAAAGTGTTAAAAGTCTGAATGGTTAGCTTAATGCTTACACACACACAAACTAACTCAAAACTTTTTTCGATAAATAAAAAACATCCAAAACAGAGAAAATTGCCAGAAATAAAACTTGAAAATGAATCAAGAAAAAAAATCGTAATCAAAATAATGATGATGAAAAGAAAAAGAAAAAAGAAGAAAATTTCAATCATGAAAAAAAAATCAAAAATCAAAAAAATTCATTCGACCGAAAGCGACTAAATACACACACACACACAGTGTGTGTTTACTGTAGTATATTGAAAGAAGAAAATAAAACCGGTCGTTCTTAAAGTTCTTGAATCTTTTGATTCTCAAGATTCTTTCTTGATAATATTGATTTAAAAGCAATTGAAAGAGTGTAATTATTAACCAACAGAGAGAGAGAGAGAGAGTTAATAAATGATCAAAGAATAGGGAATTGTAGCACACACAGAATTTTTCTTTTGAATCAAATTCTATTTCTATTTCAAACCAATGAACGAAAAAAAGTTTCTAAATTGAAACTTTGAAAATCATGAAGTGAACCAAGTGAATAGAAAAATAAACAAACAGTTTAGTTTTAACTAGTTTTCCATCTTCATTCTTTGGTTTTTTTCCCATTTTGATTGGAAACTTGATTGGAAAGGAAAATGGTAGAATTTGGAATCTTAATTTTAAATTTTTTTTCCTTGTTTTGTTTTTATTTTGTCGATGATTGCTTGCTTGCGGGGGTTGGATGGCTCGATAAATAGATTGATCTAGAAAGAAATCCAATAAGAATTTTTCAAGTTTTCGTTTTTATTTCGGCCAAAAAAAACGAAACGAAACGAATGTCAACGACATAAATGTCTCCATTATCGATCTGGAATGAATGTGGAACAAAAAATAAATTAACCTGTCATCACTCTGTCTCTTTGGAATCAATTTCAATTTTCAATTTTTCAATTTCTGATTTTTCATTGTCGACAACGAACGCCCAAATATTTCACAAAGTTTCGATTTTGAAAATCGAAATTTTTTCCACTTCTGTTTGTGAATGACAATTTATCATTTCAAGATTTTTACGGGTTTTCTCTGAATGGTCAAGAAATAAAATGACACAATGCGACCAGCAAACCACGAAATGTTTTTCTGTTTCGCAAAACAATCGAAAGAATTTTTTCCTCGGATTGAATTCAATCCAATCAATCACACAATGACCAAAAACGAGAAAGAAAGGAAAATTTCATCATCCTGAGAAAAATAATGAAATCCAAACCAAAAGTTCACGAATTTCATCATCAATCAAACAAAAAACTCAATGATTCAAATTCGATACAATGAATCATTTCTTATTCCTTGAAATTGGATTGGAATTTTTTTTTTTGGATGGCAAAAAAAAAAATTATTAACCATTCGACCATTGTGTGGCCACCAGATGTGAATAGATTGAAATCATCAAGAAAGAGAACGAATAAATTTTCAATATTTCAAAAAAAAAATCGATCAAAATAAAAATGAAATGATCGATATTTGATATCGGTGTGTGTGTGTATATAAGATTTTACGATGATGGCAATCATTAATCGAGAAAAAAAAGCAAAGCAAATCAAAAATCGAAACAAACAAAAACAATCAAGATGTAATCAACATTTTCTTAACTATTTTTTGCAACTTAAACACACCCACATCCATCACAGATGGTGAATCGATCATCAATGATAATCGATTGTCAATAGATGACAACGCCCACACTTATAGTGGGAATCATTATAGAGAGATGATGATCAACATATTCATTCATCATTTTTTTTTTCATTTTACATTTTCTTATTATTCTTAACCATCTGAATACCATTCGATAGAAAAATTGATTGACCATCAATATAATGATCATTATGCAACATGCAATAGAGAAAATCATTGAACAGGAAACAGAAAATTTTTTTTTTTTGCAAGATTTGTTTATTTGTTTGAAACAGGAATATAGTTGAAAACGAAATTCCAACATAATTTTTTTCCCCGTAAAGAAATTCTGATGAAAAATGGTTCCAATTTTCGGAAATATTCAATGCACGAAAAACCCATAATAATCACACCAGGCAAAATGCAGAAAAAAAAATCAGTGATCTCGATATTATTGAAATGAGAGAAAAAAAAAGTCATCATTATCATTGAAATATCAGCAAAAAAAAAAAAATTTGAATGAGAAAATCCAAAAATAATGAAAAAATGAAATGAAATTCTCGAATTATATATGGCCACAGATTTTCTAGGCAAAAAAAAAAAAAAATACAAAATCCAAATTGAATTCTATTCACAATCTGAATATTTTTGTTTGTTTTTTGTTTTGTTTTTTTTTTTATGTTGATATAGTTTCTATGGTGGTTGCAAGATATAATCTGTCAATCGAAATGATGATGATGATGATGATGATGGTAACGTAACAACGACAACGAAAAAAAAACTTGATTCAGATGAATTGGTGGAAAGAAAAAAAAAGATGGAATTTCGAATCATTGAATCGTGTAAAAAAAATTGTTTGAAAAAAATTGCGAAATCAGCAAAAAATATAGACAAAATTTGTGTATGTGTGAGAAGAAAAATCTCAAATCTCAACAGCAAACAAACAAACACAGAATTCAAGAGAATGACAATCGAGAAAAAAAAACCGAATCAGATTCGATTCGGATTCAGAATCTATGCATCACACACACACACACAGGCACACACTGGATAAAAAACCATCAACCGGATCGTCATATTTGAATTTCGAGAAATTTTCAAAGAAATTTTTCTGGAAATTGAAATGCATGACAATGAAATTATTGTGAAACAGTAAAGATATGACAAAAAACAAAGAAAATCACACCTACCTTTTTTAATGGATCACGTCATCATCGTCATCGAATTTTGTTCAAGCGAATCCAAATCCACCAGAAATGATTGAATCAGGTGTTTTCATTATCGATAATCGATGATTGTCGAAGTTTATGTTCTGAATTGTTTGTTGAGTTTGTTTTTCGATAAGAAATGTTTGGAACTCACATTTGAAACAAAGAAACAAGAAATCATATGGAAAAACCCGAAAAATCCACATCACATGAAATTGGCCCGATTTATTCATAAAGTTCGTTACAACAACAACAAAAAAAGACAATGCATTATCGATCTGATCCATTTGGGAAAAAAAAGATCCATCCTTAGCCTATTTATAGATCACAATGATGATGATGATGATGACAGGCACAAAAAAACTAGGAAATTTTTTTGATCAAAATGTAAAAAGTTTTTTTTTATTCCAGAAAAAAAACTTTGATTTTTATCGAGTGTATAACATCGATTATTAACATTGATTTTCCAAAAAAATCGATTCTATCTATCGAGAAAAAAATGGAAAATTCAAACAAAAAAAAAAAGTTTTCTGTACAGCCAATTTAATTCGTGCATAGAGAATAATGATGTTTTTTCATTCCACTCAGAATATCTCATCATCATCATCATCTTGATTGTGAATTTGAATGCAATTTTGTTGCAGTTTTTTTTTCTCTCTCTCTCCAGAATTTTCTTTTTTGATTTGATGCAAATGAATGAATTAGGAAAAGTGGATGAAAAAACCTGGTATACACACACACACACACACACACACAGTTTATATATTCATATGCAAATCAAGATGATGATTTTCTTCAATGGATTCTCGAAAAAAAAAATATTTATATTTTATTATTCAAGAATCGATGATGATCATTTTGAATTTCATTTCATTTCATTATTGATGATGAAATTCGAACGGTAATAGTGAAATGGAATGAAGTTCAAAGAAAAAAAATAAAGGTATTCACCACCCACCGATCGACGACCAATATATTCCAATGATGATGATGGTGAAATTTACAGAATTTCATTTGTGTATTGAAATGAATCTCACCAAAAAAAAAAAAAGTAGCAATCTCGTCGTTTATTATTGGTGATGGTCCGAAACTTGAATGAATTTTTTTTTGTGGGAAGAAAAATTGGATTGGATTTTTTTTTCTAAAGAGGCGGATTGGTTGAAAAGGAATACAAAGCAATAATTTCGATAAATGGAATATATTTGAATAAAATGAAAAATGAAAGCTTTTTGAAAAGGTGAATTTGATGCCAGCAAAAAAAAGCGTGAAAATACGATTATTGGAAAATTTATGGAATTTTCTTTTTCCAGAACCTGAAAATCAATGATTTTGAAAAGACCCGGAATACATTGAATATAAATGATCAATGGATGATGATGAAAACGGAATTGAATAAATTTATTCGATTCTAACCAAAAAAAAAAGAAAAGAAATTTTCATTGAAAATAAAATTCGTTGAATTTTATTTATTTTCCAACGAATTCCTCACACACACACACAATGAATTCTTGAATGGAAAAAAAGAGTTTATAATAATAATTTTTGCAAACGGAAATTCAAAATCATTTCGTCTATTTGTTTGTGTGTGTGTGTTTGAAAAAAATAAATAAATACGATGTGTTTAGTGAGTGTGTTTGAAAAAAAAGCAGGAATTTGATTTGGATTTTTTTTTTTTTTTGAAAAGATCTGGTGGGTGTGATCGAATATTTAGGCTTTTCCAATATCCTCGGGATTCACCAGATTCAGGCACAATCACATGATTTGACAACCATATTTGGTAAATTTTTCTGATAGATATTATAATCATTATCGACATAGATTAATGAAATCTGTGTTTGAGATGAAAATGAAAAGAAAGGAAAATAATGAGATGAAAGCAAATGATGTGATGTTTTTTGTTGTTTTGTTAAATACAAAAATAACAACGATGATAATGGTTTGAAAAGACACTTACCGATGACATTTCTCTTGGTGAACAGCATAGTTTTATTATCGGATATTTTCCTGTTTCGTTTTTTTTTTCATCATTATTTATTCATCATTGTTTTTTGGTTAGTCGATTGGTGAGTGTTTGTGACATTTTTTTTGTTGTTGTTCATTTGCATATTGATGTTGTTTCAAGGGCCAAATGGTAATAATGTTTGTATGTGAGTGTGTGCATTTGAACAGCAGCAAACAGGCATCCAAAGAATGAAAACAAAAATAAAACAGAAATTTTAGTCAAACGGTCAAGTAGAAAAAAATGGATCAAACGATCCAAACAAACAACAAAAAAAAACATAAACATGAAATAAACGAAATTACATTGGGAATAAAATGTAAAAAAACACACACACACACAAAAGGTGTCTTAGATCTTTTGGTAAATAATTCATGTGATTTTCATCATCATCATTCAGTGTTTATCAACCTGAATCAACTAAACCAAGAAGAATAAAAAAAAATTCTCTACTGGATTTGTAACCAGAAAAATAACGTTACTACTACTACTGGAATTGTCTAAGCAAAAAACAAAAAAAAATAACAAAATAACGGTGACAACAAACAAACATAAAACACAAAGTTATATAATCGACTACCCATTACCGTTATATTTCGACCATTTTGACAAAAAAAATCTTACCACACACACACACACACACACGTTTATTGTTGTTGCTGTTGTTGTGAACAAAATAATGATGATGATGATGAAAATGAAAATGAAAATAAAATGAAATATATGTGTGTGTGTGTGTGTGTAATATGGGCCAACAAACAACAACAGTAATAATAAAAACATGAAAGAAAGTAAAGAAAAAAAAAGATCGACAGAATGATGAGATTTTCATGTAATGGACATTTTTCTGTTTGGTTGTTGTCATCATTTTCTTTTGTGTTCTATTTCTACATTTTTTTTCTCTCTCTCTTGGTTTATTGTTGTCGTTGTTGTTGTTGTAGATAATCATCATCTTTCTCTCTCTCTCTCTCTCTCTCTCTCTAGGGTGGTGCTATTCTGTTCCTGGTTTGCAAACAACAAAATGATGATGATGATGATTCAAGTAGATTTGGAAAGGATTTTGTAGCAGCATTTTTTTTTTTTGGGAAAAGATTTCATTTCATTTCACAACAAAACGGATATGAACTAAGCAAAAAAAATTTTTTGTTTCTGATGGTCTTTTTTCATTTGTTTGTTTGTTTGTTTGTATCAAACAAACATTTGTTGGTGGATAAACGAGCAAAAAAAAAAATTTGTAAACTTGAGACAAATGTCAAATGTTTTTTTTTCTGTGAATAAACAGAAAACTGACTACTACTGTGTTTGTTTGTTTTTTTTTTTGGCGCGCACACACACACACATACAAGGAAAACAAAATCTTCATGATTCTTAATCAATCACCATACTACCTGCACATGAATTCTATTTTTGTGTGTGTGTGTGGTTAGTAAACAGAATTTAGAATTTGTCAAAAAAAAAAAAACAAAATGAATCTACATTACCAATAACGGTTGTATGATGATAACGAGCATGGCTTACATCACATTGTCCTTTTTTAATTTTAGAAATGTTGCCAGTCAGGATTTTTTTTTTGTTCGATGATACAATTTCCAATTGCCAATCGGAGGAGAAAAATGTCGATTAATTTCATGATGTATGTATCGATTATTGGTGAATTATCGATTTCAAAAAAAAAAAAAAAAGAAGAAAAAAACATATTGGAAAAACAAATTGAAAGAATTGAATAATAAATATGAATAGAAATTCAATATAAGTGAAATAGAATTGATTGAATCGGAATCGATTATTATTATGATTATTGATTCATCATCATTATTTATCATCATGTGTATGAATGAAAAATGATCCATTCGAATTGACGATTGATAATTGATTCGGTTTTTTATTTCTTGATTACAATATCAATATCACTAACAATAACAATATATGATATGGCTCAATTATTATTCACACACACACACACAAACAAACAAACAATCAATATCAATTTTATCGGATATTATTTTTCACATTTCCCCCAATACTGAAATCAAAAAAAAAAAAATGAAAAACGAAAATGAAAGCAAATACACCATGATCGATTTTTTTTTCGTTTGTTTATCCATATCAAGAAAAAATAACGTTCAATTTCTAATTGTGGCTAATAACAAACAGAGAAAGCTCAAACCAACCAACAAAAAAAACTAAACTAAATTATTTATTGATTAATTAAGATGATTTTTCATTTTTATCACGAGATATAAAAATATTTACTTAGATAAAATGACTAAAAGAGCTAAAGAGACTGCTGCTGAGCCAAAAAAAAGCCTTTTCTTTCTTTTGGTTCAATAGTATTTCGTGGATCGATCCAAATTGAGCTTCTTTGTAGATGTGTTTGTGGGAAATTAGATGCCTTTTTTTCTCTCTCTCTCTCTATCTCTCTGTCTCATAGATCATCATTCATCAGACAGCCAACCACCACAACCACACACACAACATAAACTCTCAATATTCTTGGATTCTGGTTCGTTGCACTTGGAACAAACACACACACACACAAAACTGACAAGAGAAAAAAAAGAGAAATAAAACTTGAGGGATTTATATATTGTGCTCACTCAGTGGCACACACACACACACACAAACGACTTATCGATGATGATGATGATGATGACTTATGACTGAAGACTTTTCATTCGGGGGCCAAGAAAAATATGTCAACTCTAATTAAGAATCGACATAGTAATAATTTTAGAAAAATCATTCTACTAAGTCAAAAAAGAAAGAATTTTCACTTTATCACATCACCCACACACACACACAATAATGATTCTTAAGTGAGACATTCAGAAAAAGAAACAATAATTATTATGACATTATTAAAGCCAAAAAAAAAAACCACAAATTATGATCCAAAGATGTGATCCATTTCATCACCATGATCATAATAAGCTATTTCTACATCAACATGTTTTTTTCGTCTCTCTCTCAATAAGCTTATTGATTCTTTTCATTTATTCAATTAAATGAGAACATCGATGTGTGTGTGTGTGTGGAATTAGTCCGATACCGCAACACACACACACACAGAATGTCACCGTTGAAAGAAAGAATAAAGAAAATTAAGCCCTAATCAACCTACACATCATCAAACAATAGACGAAAAATTTTTTTTTTCGTTCCATTATTCATTATTAGAAACAGAATGACATTGTTTCTCGGTAAACGACGTTGTTGATGATGGAGAAGAAAAAATTGAAATTGAAAAAAAAATTAATTTCCGTTGACATTTACAGAGAGAAAAAACAACACACACACACACACACATAAACTCAGGAAAATCAATCAAAAATAATTTTCTTCTATTTTCAAATGAGAATCAAGAAAGAAATTTTTAATTAAAATCATTCTATTCTGAGGAATGAAAGAATTTAGAATTTTTCATTCAATGTTCATTTTACCGTTATGAATTCCGGTTAATATCATCATCATCATCATCATTGAATCCATTGATTCAATGATCAAAATTGGCTCACAAACAAACTTGCACATTATATACAAGTATATTATTTTCTGTCTTTCGGGTTATTCTGGGATTTTTTTTTTTTTTTTTGTTCATTCCAATAATAATAATAATAAACACCAGATGAGAGAAAATGAAAAAAAACCGAACGGAAATTGAAAAATAAATTAACTAGAGCCACCAACAACAAAAGATTTTTTCCATACTGAAATAATGATTGTGTGTGAAACAACGAGAAAGACATAAATGATTATATAAAACGAAACACACCACCACACCACAATTATAGTAGAAATGATGTGTGTTAACGATGGGCTTATTATTATTACTACTATGGCACCGTTTGTTAACCCCCACACGGACGATTGAATTATGTTTTAATCGATAATAAAAAAAGATGTGTGCGTGTGCCCTAAAGTCTTCGTCATGTCAAACAACAGAATTTAAACAAAAAAAATTTTTCCAATATTTTTTCCATCAATTTTTAGCCCCCATCATCATCATCATCATCATCATCGTAAGCAGTGATGAGGTAGTATTTTTGGAACTAAAAAGATTTATCGAAACCAGAGACACTGACACAAACACACCTGCCTTTGACACAATAGCTATTAATGTAGTGTTTTACCTTTATTATACAAAATATGGTAATAATTATGTGGACATTTTATCATTCAAATCAAATATAATTTTGTCCGTATAATAATTTCGTTTACATATATGATGACATAAGGTTTTTTCTTTTTCTGTTTTTTTTCATTTGTTCAAAAAACACCAAAGTCAATCAAAAAAAAAAAAAAAAAAAAAAAAAAAACCAAGAAAAACAGGGAAAAGAAGAAGTAGGGGTTTGAAACAAACACAGACACACGAACAAGAGAATAGAACGAAATGGATGTATGGAACATCATCATGATAATCAACGGGAAAAAAAGAATATGACAAACACACACACACACACACACACACACACACGGCGTATACCTAAATTTTCCATTTTTTTTCACCCACTATATTCTTGGGTCCCGTGTGAATTCCCGTGATGTTCCAAATGTTTTGGAAAAATGAAAGAAAAAAAATGGAAAAACATCACCATCATCATCATCAACGACATACCTTTACAATAGTTGGCATTATATCCGGGTGGCTGTAATATCCAATTGTTCCATCCTACAAAAACGATGATGACGAGAGAAAAAAAGTGTCAATTTAAATGTGCACGGTATTTATATACATGTGTGTGTGTGTGTATGTGACGGTTATCGTATATCATTCACATGGGATGAGAATCGATGATGATGATGATGATGATTTCAGAGAATATACACACACACACAAGCACAGAGAGAGAAATTTCCAAGTTTTTTGACATTGTAAAATTATTTCATGATGTGAAAAAAATAGACAAAGTTTCAAAAAAAAACGTGGAAAATGAATGAATGAACGATGAAGATGCAAATTTATAGTGAGAGAAAGAATAAAGTCAAATGAGAAGATGACAGTTGACATTGACAGAAATATTGTAGAAACATCAAAGATCGGAATTGAGGCAAAGTTTTTTTTCCGTGTCGTTTTGTTTTATTTTTGTTCCAATTGAAACGAGGTGTTGTTTTTGTTGTTGTTGACGTAGATGATGATGAAAAAAATTCATTTAAAATTCATAAGATTTGGCGATAATGGTGACAATGATGACATCCATGGAATAAAAAAAGAAAAAATGTTAGATATCAAATCATCATCGATATATATATAAATGGAAAACTTTCTGAGCAAAAAAAATTTTCAGGAAATTAACACAAAACAACATACCGATTGTAGTAAAATTCACATAGAAGGGTTGACGACAACAGAATGATACTTTATCTGTACAATCTACGCTACGTTTTGCACGTAATAACTATATATATTCCATTGCCAAATAAATGTGTCCAAAATCAATCATCATTTCCAAAAGATTCATCGTCGTAAGAATCGTGTTGTTGTTGTTGTAAAGATTTTCAGAAGCCAAGAAAAAAGAACAACGATAATGATAAATGATGACATACAAGAAAACAAAAAAAAAAAAAAAATGTGTCAAACAAACAAAAAAAGCAAAAATTAACACAATACCTTATTATTGTTAACATTGGTCATTGCAATCTTGATAAATGAGCTTTGTATTTCGAAATTTTCATTATAAATTCGTATCATGTCTAATGGCGACGAAGATGATGATGACAATCGACCATTACTAACATTTTGGCCACCATCAAGACGACGATTATCACCATTATCATTCTCATCATTTTGGCTATTATTTAACAATAATAAATTGGTCACATCATATTCGTATGTCATTGTCGATGATTGTTCTTCATTTTGTTGTTCAGTTGTTGTTTCAGCCATTAATCGTGATGTTGGCGATGCAATAGTAATCAAATCAAAATTATCATCAACATTTTTATTGGCAGAAGAATGTAAAACAGCATTTCGTTTCAATTCGATTAAGCCGGATACAGATGATATTGATAAATCTAACAACGGTGATGACAATGATTGATCAGAAATTTTATATTTAACTAGAATAATGATTGATTTTATCATTAAATTATCATTCGATGATTGTTGAATTATCGATTGTAAATCAAATATTGGTGATTTTAATTGATAATAATGATAATGTTTAGGCAATATGTAAACAATCTGTAAATCTTGATCATCCAAATCTTTTGAATTTGCTTGATTTTTTTTCATTTCTTCATCGTGTTCAGTATAGTCAGCATTTCGTTTTGCCGATGTTGATAATTGGCCAACGATTCGCGCATCTTTTTGATTTGATTTCCAAGTGCAAAAAGCATCAAAGAGAGAAAAATGAAGAAAATTAATTTTTGGTTCATAGAATGAAAATAATACATACACATATTAATCAGATCAATATCTGGTTGATTTGGTAATTTTGGCGGCTCTTTCAAACCGAGTTTATTCAGAATTTGTTCTTTAATGAATTCAATACGTTGCCGATATTCTTCATTCGAATCTTGATACATATAATCACCATTATTTTGACAGCTAAAACATTGACGATTTCGATTCAAATCGGGCAGAATTGTCGTTGTAGATGGATACGTATTGATCATCATCATACTTTGATTGTTGTAAGGGGATAATGAATCATCCATTAAGGCAGCACTTGTGATAACAGGTGAATGAGAAATTTCCCTGGTAATTATTGGTGTTGGATTGACAGATTTCTGGGATATATTTGCTGATGAATCTGATTGTCGCCAAAATAATAATGATTTTGTAAATGATGGAAGAAAATTTGCAATTGAATATTCACCATCATTATTATATTGACTATTATTATTATTATGATTCCATTGATTACAATCGATAATTATTGGACCAGATGTCAATAAAAATAATATGGATAATAATGAAAATTGTTTAAATAAATTCTTTGTTCCATTACGATGGCGATGACGATGATGATTGATATGGCCACTATGAATGGCCCAATAAATAGTAATAAGCATAATAATAAAAAAAAAAATCAAAAATGTTGATAGCAACAGGTATGGTAACAGCAATTGGTACACCACACACACACACACAGACGAAAATGAATAAGCAAATAATAATAAAACCACAGAAAAAGCTTTTGAGCAACTGTTTTCAATTATTCACATTCTTCAAAGAGGACGGCGACGACAAATTCATTCAAATCAATTTGATGATGATGATGATGATAAATGTGGACTAAATTTCTATTTTTTCTTTTTTTTTTTTCAAACACACAGGATGCTATCCATTTTTTTTTTGTTGGCTGTTTCGCTGAATATTTCAATGTCAAGATGTTTTATTTATTTTTTTGATGATGTTTTCTATTTCTACACGCACACACACACACACACAATCGAATTGGGTTTTTTTTATTGCTTTCGATCAATCGCTTGGTTGGTTAAAATGATGAAAACACCACTTTTGGTTTTGAAATCTGGACAATAAATTGGTGACAAATTCAAATTCAGCAAAAAAAAAAAAGTTTCAGCAAATCAATGTTTATAAACTTTGGTGCTTTTTTTTCATTTCAAATCATCATCATCATCATCATCAACAATTTATCTTACCATGATCATCAAATGCACGAAAAAAAAAATCCATGGACCATTCCTCTTTGGGGCATCTTTTTTTTCTCTATAATTGCTTGGCTAAGCAAAAAAACACTAGAAGCGAATGAAAAAGAAAGAAAAAAAACCTTATTGAAATGTGTCAGAAAAATCAAACTTCAAGATTAATATATTGAATCAGAACAACACAGTGTTAAGATTGTTGTTTTTGTTGGCGATGATCATGAAAAAAAAATTATCTCATTTTTTTCATACGAATCAAGTAGAACAAAAGTTACAATGTAATACATTCACGATTGTAACAGATTTTTTTTTTTTTTTTTTTAAAAAAGATTCAAAATGAATTTTTTTCAATGTCAAACGATAAAAATTTTTCCGGTGAAAAAAAATGATGAAAACCTACCACATCATTCCATTCTATTCATTTGGTCGGTAAATCATTTACGATTATCGATTGGAGCCATAATACCGAAATTGGATCCAAGTACGTTGGATGGCAAGCTTCAAATTTCACTTTCACTAATTTTTTTTCTCATACTTGTGGTGCTATCGATAATGATAATAATTATGAATATATATGAATGATAATTATATCGGTTGATAATCGATTTTTTTCCCATATATTAATCAATCAATCGAATCATTAAAAATAGAAATCAATATGATTATGATGATGATGAATGAATGAATGAAAACACCTACCGCCATTTATAAAAAAAAAATTTGAAAAAAATTATCGTTCAAAAGGAAAAAAAATGATGGCGATTCGATGATACGTACCAACTCGAAATGTTAATTAAATTTTTTTTCCAAATCGGATACATTGTAATAAATCAGAAAATGTACAGAAATAAGAAAATCGATTTTTTTTTTTTTTTTTTTTTTTTTGAAAATAAACTGAAACTTCCGGAAAATTTTTCTACTTTCCGGATAAATCATTGAATGATCATTTATTGTGATGATGGATGGTGTCATCATCATCATCATCATCATCATCACAATCATTGTTCGAATTGAATTTCAAAGAAAAAGGAAAAATTTTCAAGAGAAAAAAAATCCTGATTGTGATGATGATGATATAAAAATCTGTATGTGCTCGGAATTTGAAGTTTGAATTTTTCAAAAAAAAAATTCACTTTTTTTCGCTTGACAATCTCTCGAATTAAGAATTAGGTTGATAAAGACAAAAAAAATTTTTTTTTTTTTTGTTAGTTGAGAAAGTTGCTGGAAGGAGGACATGTCTGCCTATCTGGATCTGGTCTGGCCCTAAATTAACTTACGGAAAATATTTTTTGACAAAAAGAACAGAGGAATGTAGAATTTTTTTTTTCACTGAAAACAACAAATTGAATCAAACAATCATCATGGAGAGAGAGACAAAAACTTAGAAGAAAAATTCATGGTGCATGTGTTACACAAAATATTGACAAATCAATTGTCAATGAATTGTAAATCAAAATCAATAACTAAGGAAAAAAATTCTTGTGAAAAATGTCGTGTTAAATCGAATCGAACCAAGTGAAAGAGGATCATCATCATAATTTTTCTTGCATGATTATCATCAAATTTCGTTTTTTTTTGTCATTTTTTTCTTTGTAAAGGACAAAAATCGTCGCCAGCAAAAAAAATCAATGATGACAAACAAAACAAAAATAAAAAAGAAAAATTATTGATCGATCGATCAATCAAAAAAAAAAAAAAAAACTCACGTACGTTTGTCTCGTTGTCGCTGTCGTCGTCGTCTGATAATAGACTGGTAATCGAATTCGTTTTTTTTTCTTCTTCATTTTCAAATTTCCATGCATTAATCTCTTTGATTAATTACAAAATCATCATCAGGAAGACAGAAAATTCAAACGAAGAAAAAAAATCCAGATTCATACAATCGGAACTTGCAAAAACAAACGAAACATCTTTTTTTTTCTTTCACACCAATTGTGTTGATGATGAAAATTTTTTTTTTTCGGTTCGATTTTGATCGATCGAGTGCAACACACACACACACACACACACACACGGAAAGAAACGGTATTACTGGAATGATGAATCGATGATTGTCAATTCATGTTGTTCAACAACAACAACAAAAAATGTTTCGATGGTCGATGTATTGGGACTAGGAAGAGAAAAAAAAAGAAAGACTTTTTTTTGACATTTGAACAATTTTACTTACTTTTAATTCGATAATCAACTGTGTGTGTGTCTTTTCGATCTTTGTCCATTGATAAGTGGACAAAATGAAAACGAAAACTTTTCATTTTCCAATTAAAAAAATTGTCCCTAATCCACAAATGGATTCGATTCGAAGATGATGTGATGGTTATAATTCAAAATCTTATCAGTTTGTTCATCTGATTGTGTATGTCAAAACACAAACGAATCAACAAATTTGACAATCGCGATTGTGCGTGTAAGAATATAATCGATTGTTTTTGAATTTGAATGATTAATATTTTGTTTTGGATCGATTCTCTCATTAACACAACAAGATGTTTCTTTTTGTATTTTCTTTTTTTTCTGGATCAAAAAAATGGAATGAATGGCCATACGGAAATGTAATTTCCAGGTTGTCACAACTTTTTTTCCGTCAACTTTCTTTTGTTGTTGTTCATACATCGCCAACAATAACATCATATTGAGAAAATCGAATCATTCAACTGTGAAAAAAATAGAACATATTCTTAAAATCATTTCATTTCAATTTCTTTTATTGATCACTTTTGTAAATTCTTTTACTTTTTCTTTGTTACAAATGAAAATAATCACACAATACAACAACAACAAAAGGTGAGAATCAAATGAAAAAAAAATGATTCTATGAATGGCCACCAAAAGTTCTGTTGGAATTGTTAAAAGAAATATTGAATTAGTTGTATAATGTAACTGTTGAGTATATTTAATTAGTACGATCAATGGTATATATAAATATTGTATATATATGAAGTTTGTTAACCAGTTATTTATTATGATTAAACACATCATCAATAGATCTGCTAACTATTGAATCTTGAATCAATGATGAATGATTTGAAATATGATTCTTTATCCTGAATTTGGCCACAATGGAAAAGTTCGAGTAAATGGAATTGTTGGAACAAAGAAAATCACGATAATTCTTCCTCAACTCATTCGAGTGTATCAATCCGTGTGTTGCTGACTCGGAATCAGCCAGATAGTTGAAAGCATGATGGCTCATTTCTTTGGTCCTTGGTTCAATGGTATTTCCATATCAATATTGTGATATATATGAAGTTTGTTAACCAGTTATTTATTATGCATTTCTTCACCACCATTCTCGGCATACATCATCAATGGTCCCTTATAGAAACAAGATGAATTCATGATATAAGTGATATGAAGTTTTGATAACTATTGAATCTTATACTTCCAAGCCTCTTGCTAAATTCTCAACAAGTTCCACCATTATTATCATTATTTCTTTGTAAAAATAAAAAAAAATGAGAGATCGAATAAAATTTTTGAATCAAAAATTTTTCGCCACTCATTGATTATTATCATCATTATTATTATTACTGGATGAAGCGTTGACAACAAATGGATATGAACCATCATTGGATTCAGTATGATGATCTTCTTCTTGATCTTCTGGTTCAAGCTGTTGATGTGACTGATCAACAATTTGTTCTTGTTCATTATTTTGTTCAATTTGGTCATTATCATCATCATCATCATCATCATCAATTTGTATGACATTCGATGATGATGATTGTCCAGCTTCTTCTTGCATTTCATCTTCTTCATCATTACCATCAGAATTTGGATTATCTAATGATTGCTGGTGTGATGATTCTTGTTGTTGTTGTTGTTGTTGAATAGTAACCATTTGATTACCAGAATCTACCATATTACTGCTGCTGCCGGTATTATTATCATTACGTTTCTTTTTAGCAATCTTTAGGCCAATATCTGGATGATCATCATTAGATGATGATTGAAATCTTCGTTTATGAAGATTATTCATTGATGATGTTGATGGTATGTTTGTTGTTGCTGGAAAAAATGTTGATGTTGATGATTGAATTGACTCCATAGAATTATCATCCATCATTGATGTTGTATGTGACGATATTTGTGCTGATTGTAAACGATTATTATCCAAATCATGATCATCATTATGGCTACCAGAACTAGATGTTGGTTGATGACGATTTATTAGATTCAATATCTTTGTTGTCGATGTCATCGTTGTCGTTGATGATGATGATGATGAAGATGTACTTGGTTGTTGTTGTCGATGTAAATTATGATTGGATGATGCTGATACAATTGTCGAGCTAACCGATTGACCAGTGTTATTGTGACTACTACCAGCAATCGATGGTTGATCACCAGTAACTACATTACTGGATGGATCCATAATTTTCGATTTATCCGATAAAATTGATCGTAGAAAATTAATTTCTTTATCACGTTCATTTAATAATTTATCCATATTTGATAAACGATTTTTTGCTTGTTGTCCAATTGATCGTGCTTTTTGCCTAGATTGTTCAGCTTGTTGTTGAAGTTGATTGATTTCTTGTTCTAATTGTTCAATTTTTTCACGTAATTTTTCATTTTCACTTTGAAGATTTTGAATACGTGTTTCTAATTCATTCTTATTATCCGTATCGAGCTGTTGTTGTTGTTGTTGCTGATTATCTTTAGAACCAGATTGTTGTAGCTGCTGTTGTTTTTGATATTGTTCACATTGTGATTTATATTTACGTGCCAGATTTTTCAATTGATGATTCATAGTCTGTAAAGAGGATAGCTCATTTCGAATTGATTCAATTTGTTTTTCTGATTCATCATGTTGTTTGCTAGATTTTTCTTGCATTGTAGCCAATTCTTTGCGTAATGATTCCAATTCCAGTGTTTGTTGTTGATATTTTGCCCGAATTTCAATAGATTCTTGTTCACTTTTTTGATGTTTAACATTCAATTCTGAAAGTTTTGTTTCCAATTCATGGGCATAAGATTCAGCTTGCTGTAATCGAGATTGTAATGTTGCAATCATTCCAGCATCGGCAACCTATGAAAAAAAACACATTTTGAAAAATTACTATTATATTGACCACTATTAACACATACCTTTTCACGTGAATCTTCCTGATGTAAACGTTCAATTTCAATTGATAATTGTTGACATTTTCGTGATAATTCATCATTATCATTACGAATTTTTTGTAAATATTCTTGAAACTCATTTTCTTGCATAGTAGATTTTCTGGTTTTCTGTTCACATTCTTGTTGCTTCATTAATAATTGTTTCATTTGTTCATATTCATGTTTTTCACGTTGGACAGATTGTTCAAGATTAATGATTGTCATACGCAGTGAATCCATTTCATTCTGGTGGCGTTCATCGTGCAAATCAAATGTTTTCAATTTATCCAACAGGGATTTATTCTGTCCAGTTAGATTTTCAATCACATTTTTTAACGTTGAGACATCAGGATCATTGTTCTGCAACGAACGAATCGATTGGCCTAGATCATGATTAAGTTTTTCATTTGCTTGGATTAATTCCAATTTTTCCGAGTGTAATTGTTCCACATTTGATCGTAACGCTTTTAATCTTTCATCATAACGTTTTGATTCGGTTGATTTTTCTCTTTTCAATTCGATCAATTTTATTTGTTCATTTTTATGTTGTTTTTGCCATTCATCTGCTTGCTGTTTCAATCGTTTGGTTTTTTCTCGTAACGATTCCAATTCCATTTGTGACAAACGTAATTCGTGTTGATATTTATCACTTTTATTCAATGATAATTCTTTTTGTAATTCTTCATTGGTTTTTGTAATGATTTCAATTTTCTTTTCCAATATTTCAATCGATAAATTTTTTGCCATTAATACCGTTGTTTGTAAATCTTGCAATTCCTGTTGATAACGTTCAATTTCTTTTGTCATTTTGGACTGTTGTTGGTTGATTTTCATTTTCGATTCCGTTTCTACAAGATTTATTTCGGCTAAAAGTCGAGATTTCTCAGCATTCACTACGGCAAATTCAGATTCAATTCGTAACTTTTCTTGTAATAATTCTTGATTTTCGTGATTAGATGTCAATCGTTTTTGTTTCAATTCATTCAATTCTTTTGTCAATACTTCAAATCTTTCAGCCATTTCATTATCTTGTTGTTGATGTTGTGATAGAAACCGATTTTCCAATTCTAAATTACGATTTATCTCATTTCGTAGATTCGTTTCCAATTGTGAAGCGTTTTCAATGAAAATCAATTTTTCATTATTCCATTGTTCACGTTGTTTTTCAAATGATTCACTAAGATTTTCATGATCCATTTTCATTCTTCCGATTGAATGCAATAATTCATCATCAATTAAACATTTGTTCTCGGTGAGCGATTCAATAATAATTGCCAAACGGTCTGTACGTCCAGTGTCATTATATAATGACGATAAACGTTCCACAAAATATCGTTGTCGTTGTTTCAATGATTCCAATTCAGATTTACAACTATTCAATTCAATTTCCATTCGTAGCGAACGTTGACGATAATCCGCTGCTTGTTCGGACAGTATATGCCAATTTTTTTCAGCCATATCTTTCGATTGTTGTAATGTTTCATTCATTTTTCGTAATTCATTATTTGATTGTTCCAATTGTTTCAAACGTTGCGATTGTGATTTTGATTGTTTTTCCATTGAATCAAGCTTTTCTGATTGCAATTTTCGTTGTCTTTCCAATTCATCGTTAATCGATTTCAATGTTTTCAATTCGGCATCACATTCAGTGAGTTTTGCATTCGATTGTTCTATAGACGTACGTAATGATTCATTCGCTGCTTGTAAATCGTTGATTATTCGTTGTGATTGAATTTTCTCATCACGTGATTCAGTTTTCATATTGGCCATCAAGCTTTTGAGTACTTCATATTCACTATGTAGTAAGTCATTCCGAGCTTGCCATTGTTGTTTCTCCATTTCCAACATCTCTAATCGTTGTGTCAATAGATCGATACGATTTTCATTTTCAATAATATTCTGTTTTTCATTTATAAAATTCAATTTTTGCTTTTCAAATTCAGTTTGTAGTTGATGAAATTCCTGAAATTTATTCTGCAGTTCCATTACATATTTCAAGGCCAACATTCCGGTAGAATCATCATTGCCATCACCAGGGACAGTGTTTTGATCATTAATTTGATTTGTTTCATGTTTAACAAGGACATCGATTTTTTTGGAAAGATTCTGAAAATTATCATGAAACATTTTTGCACCATTGTGTAGGGAGAGAGCGGAATTTTTATAGAACTTCAAGGAAATGGCCAATTCTTTATTTTCAATCTCAATTTTCAGCATTTTATCTTCCATTCGTTTCACGCGTTGTATTTCTTTCATCAATGTTGCAGTAGATTGTTCCATATCGTCTAATTGCTTGGACAATGATTGAACACGTTCTTCAAGTACAGATTTCTCAATCACAAGATTCTTATTCATAGTTTCTGTCTGTAAAAATTGTGAATAAAGTTGACTTATTGAACGATTACGATCAAATATGTGGCTAAACATTGAGATGTTTGGATAGAATTTTTCCAAATATTTTTCCAACATTTCTGTTTTGGATTTTTCAAAAACCGCGTTCAACTGTTCAATTTCCAATCGTAAATTATCACATTCATTGATTTTAATTTGATATTTTTCTTCAAATTCATTGTGTATTTTTTGATAATTTTCTTCATTGGTTTGTAGCTTGTCGGTTAATCCAGCAATTTGCTGCTTGGATTCATTCAATTGAATTTCCAATGTTTGACATTTGGATCGTGAATCTTCAAGTTCCAGGCGTGTCTTATCATTGGTTTGATTTTGAATTTTCAATTCATTTTTCAATGATTCAACAATTGTTTCATGTTTTTCACGTTGTTCACTTGTAAATTTTTGCAAATCATTCATATAATTAGTTTTTGATTCGATTATTTTTTCAAGAATTTCATTTTTATCACGTAAACAAGGCAGCTCATTTTCACATTGAAATAATTTCGATTTTGATTCAATCATTTCAATGAAAACATCTTGATCATTCGAAATTGCTCGATTCGAATTGGTATTCTCGATGATCTTATCAATCATATTGATTATCTGATCATTCGCGTTTGGTTCATTATGCAATAAATTTTTAAGACTCAAAAGTTGATCATGACAATTGGTTCGAATGTTTGATAATTCCATTTTTATTTCATTGTTTTCTAAATAATAAATTAATAAGTTAATAAATTTCACAGTCCGATAAACATACCTTTTGTAAGATTTTGATTATGAAAATTGAGATCATTTAACGTTACATTTTTCTTGTCAACCACACCGATTAGACGATTAATTTCCGATTCTAGTGATTGAAAACGATCGGAAATAATGGTCACTTGGGACGGATTTTTTTCTTTGTCCATGATGAGATCAGTAACAAAAAAAACTTTTAAATCAAATTGTCAAATGGAAAATCGAAATTGAGCAATAAAAGAGTCTCATCGATGGAATCAATCGATGCACACTTTGGTTCTTTTTCGGAAAGTTTTTTTTTCGGTGGTATAATAAAGAATTTCCGGGGATTTTTTTTTTTTTGCAAAATTTTTATGAATTTTTTTCTACAAAAAATTCTGTCGTTTTTTATTCACTTCTAATTTTTTAAAACAAAATTTACATTGAATGAAATTAACAACAACATAATCAATCAATCAATCAGGCGACAATTTTGTTTCGAATTTTTCAAATTCTTCCTGATTAATACGTTCAGTTTCATCCATAACCTGTTCAACAGACATGACTTCAGGAATATAGAATTGTAACATATTCTGGATGCCATTTTTCAATGTCACTACCGATGATGGACATGATGTACAAGCACCTTGAAGTTTTAGTCGAACGATACCGTTTTCAAAACCCTGAAATTGAAATTTGAAAAAAAATTATCATTCAGATTCAATCCACACACATACCATGAATTTAATATCACCACCATCTTCCTGCACTGTTGGCCTGATTCGTGTATCAATCAATTCCAAAATCATTGCAACGGTTTCATCATTATCGGTCGATGTTGTCGTTATAGGTTGTTGTTGTTGATTCAAATCTTTTTCCACACCTTCCCTTAAAATCGGTAAATTTGTAGAGAAAAAATCCATAATAGCAGCAAAAATTTCTGGTTTCATTATTTTCCATTCATTATCATCATCAATTTTAGTGACGGTTATATAATCCGTGCCGAAAAACACAGATCCAACCCCATCGATTTTGAATATAGCTTCAGCTAATGGTGAACGTTTCAAAGCTGAAATTGGTGTAGGAAAATCTATAGTCGTACCACTTTCAAGAATCTGTCGACCAGGAAAGAATTTCAAACTATTCGGATTCGGCGTCTCTTCTACCTGTATGAACATTGATCTTTCTGTATATGAGAGATATATATTCGATTTTAGAATTGTCGAATGCAAATTTAGCTGATACTCACTTTGGACTAGATTTATCGTTGATCTTGAAACGCACTTTGAATTAGCAATCATCAATGTATGATGCGAACGATTGGACGGCATTTGAATCAATGGCCATCGTCGAGAATCGAATTGTTGACATGGTTTAATGATGGATGATTGTTCAACTATTTTTAAACCACTATGACAATTGATGAAACGATTGAATTGTCGTGATAACATTGTCATTAATTGTTGATGATCATAACCAAAAACAAATTTGTTTTCATCGAATCAAATAAAATGAGATCACGTGTTTGTCTGGATGAGCTGTTCACAAACGACGATTCCGAATATTTTTTCAAATTTTTTTATTTCATCAATTTTCAATCATAACAAAAAAATTATAATTTAAAAAAAAAAAAAACTGATTGATTGTATATAATGCACACGATAATAGAAAGACAAATCTGAATTCAACGGTGATTAGAATTAAAACGATAACAAAACAAAACAGCAAAAAAATTGATCAGATTCCAAATCAATCAATCAATCATTATAAACATCAAATCAAAGAAAACATAAAACAAACAAGAATTTCGCTATATTCACAATTCTTCATTCATCCATTAATCTCTAATGCATGTTCAGCAATGCGTATGGATAGCTGTTCAATATCATCGAATGTAACATCAGTTGATGATGATGATTCAAACATTCGTTGTCTTTGTTGTTCGATTCCAAATTGATATTTTAGTCGATCCAAATCATCGAAATCATTATGAGTGAATAAATTTCCATAACGATTCTTGTTATTCTCGTTGGTAAATAGAAAATTACTATTCCAATCGGTATTATATTCCATCACTGCAACGTCATCATTGTTATCATCGTAATCATCATTTTTGCCATTAGAATTGAATAACTGATTACACAAGAAGGAAAAAAATTGATTAAATTAATTGAAAATCAAAATAAAGGGAAAAATATGACTAAATTACATTCGAATATTTTGTCATCATTGTTGGTGATGATAATCGTTTTAAACTAGTATATTGATGACCTTTGCAATCATAATAATCGTCTTGATTGTTGAAAAACTTTTTTGAAAATGAAATTTCATCATCATTATATTGATAATGATCATGGTGACCTATCGATGATGATTGATCCATCATATTAGCGGCTGTCGTTTTCACCATCATCATTGGATCATTTGTAAGAGGAACATTATTTATTATTATTATTTATCACAGAAAAATTTGTCAACGATGATGATAGATCATTGGATTGTTGATTATAGAATAATGATGGTCCACCACTATTTTCATTACCATTACCATCATTGATCATTTGAATTATTGGCGATAATGGCGATTCAGATGTTGTCGATGATGAAGATGAAGATGATTCACCTTGACTTCCATCATAATTATGGTTCATCAATAACATTGGTTTCATTACTGGATCCTGATCCTGATGATGATAATGATGATGGCCATTGGCTATCGAGTAGTTGGCGTTATAGGTGAAAAAATTTTGACTATTATTATTATTCAATTGGTTATAATGATAATTTTGCTGCTGTTCATGATTAATGAATTTTGTTTGTTGTTGCTGTTGTAAATTACGTTTCGTACAACCAATTGCTGTTGCACTGGCTATTTGATGATTCGAGGAATGATGATGACGGTTATTTGAATTTTGATTATTATAATTTCGGTTATTTGTTTTTGATTGCTGATGTCGTCGTTGTTGTTCAATTTCTCCATGATACTGATTTGAAATGGAAAAAAAATTTAAATTTGGATCCCAAACCATTAAACCACTTTACCTTGTTATTATTTTGATGATGATTATGACGGCTTATCCATGTCGATATTGATGGTTTATGCATCGATGAACCAATAGCGTCAAGCGGCTGTTGATGGCGTTGATTTTTCTGATTGCTGTTGTCAGATAAATGATGATTCAATGATGAAATGGATTGCGATTGACAACTGTGAAAAAAAGATAGAAAAAAAATGAAATAATTTGATTCGATGACCACATCAAAGATCACAATCAAACAAACATCAATTTATGAAAAGCAAAAGAAAAATTTCAACTTGATTACAATAGCTAAAATGATAATCAATGAACAAGTTATGTTATCTTTTTCATTGTTTGTTAATCGGTTATTTTATGTTTCTAAAAAAAAAAATGAAAACATTTTTCCAGATGAATGAATGAATGAATGAATGTTTCGAATATCAAACATTATATATGAATGACCACCACCAGCAACTACAAAAAAAACATCTGGTCATCAAATCAAATCAAATTCAATCTTGTTCTTTTTCTTCTTCTTCTTCAGATAACAATAAACCCAAGAAAAAAGATTATCTAAAAATGATGACTAAATGGATTTTCATACAAATCCATCGAACAAACAACCATTCATTTCATTCTTGTTTTCATCATCATCATCATCAGTAAATCTCTTGTTCAAAAAAAAAGTTCTAATTTTAGATCCTTATGAAAATATACAAATACCTTGAATGTTGATTATGATTTCGATATGGTTCACCATCATCATTCATCGATAATAATGAATCTTTTCGCTGTCGTCCATCACTATCGATGTTATTGCAATCAATTGTTGTTGTTGTTGCTGTTGTTTGCGGATCTTCTGTTGTTGATGAGTGGTCATATTTCAAATGAAAAATTGAACTCAAATATTCCAATTGTTTTGAATGATTAAAAAGAATTTTTTCATATTTTATGAATGCCTAAGATGAACAAATTGAAATTTTCAATTATCCAAAAAAAATCCAATCAATCAATTACCTCATGTAAAAGACATTTGTCCAATATTCTTTTAATCATCGTATATAATTCTTCCTCTTGATAATCAAAATGTTCTTCTTGATCATCATCTAGTGATTGACATTGATTGACTATCGATCCATTTATTTTTGTTGATGATTCATCCGGATTTACATCGCTATTATTAACTGAAGATGACGTAATTTTTGGAACAAAATTAACATCATCATCATCATCATCGGTGCTACTACCACTTCCATCAACATCGTCATCATGAAATTGCATTTGTATCATTCGTATACGTTTTTTATCATCAACGATGACCATCGTTTGTTGTTCTTGTTGTTGTTTATCATCCACCATTTTCATTGTATTTTCAACAATTGTCATCATCATCATCGTATTTTTTGTGTCATCATCATTGTATCCTAAATTGGATTGTGTTTGTTATTTGTTTAATGACATGATTATATAATGGCAACAAGAAAACAAAATAATGGAATAATGGAAAAATCAAGGTAAGTAGGTCATACTTGATACATTTTTTTTTTTTTTTTTGACTTACCATAAAGTTCTTGTGTTGATTGTTGTTGATGATGATTAGAATTTCGTGAACATTTTTTCATTTTTTTCTTCAGATATTTCTGACATTTTATCATTAATACATTAAGTACTGTGTGTGTGTGTGTGTGTATGGATTGAAAGGATTAGTTGATTGAAAAAATTTGAAAATTTCAAATTATTTACCATGACCAATTAATCGTACAATTATTGATGGTAAATCACCATTCTGTGTGATCGTTGATGATGATAAAGTTTGTCGATTATTATTATTATTATTATTAACATCAACTGTTAAAAGTGATATTGATTCATCCGGTTGTCCATCGTTATCATCATTAGTCGATTGTTGTCGTTCGTTACCACTTCCACCACCATCACAACAAATTGGTGTCGAAAGAAATGCACGTATTTGGAATAGAATCTGACTAATTATTTTCAATGATGATTTTGATTCCCAATGGCCATTATCGGTGGACAATTGTCTTTCCGATTCTAATAATACAGCTGATCTTGCCCGTAATTTCTGGATGCTAAGAAATAGTTTTTGTCTTGCACCTTTGGTTATATTACGTTGTTCTAAATCATGTTCAGTTATATTCATCATATCATCATATGACATATGGGCAAATATTGATGCATATTTATGTAGACGTAATACTGGGTGGGTGTGAAACAAAAGAGAAAAAGTTTTTTTGAGATAACGTAAAATGAACAAACACAAAAACAAACATTATTATTATTATCAAGAAAGAAGTGGGAGAGCACACAGAATATTTCTTATTCTGGGAATTTTTTTTTCATACGTAACATGATTCTTCTTTTCTTTTCGGCAAACAAAACGAAAAAAAAAGAATTTTGATTATTATCATTATTTTAAAGTTGATTAAAATTTCAACTTTTTTTCAATTTTTCTTTTCAAGAATTTTCTCCACATACGAAATCGGAATCGGAATTAATAATAAATTCCTGTGATATTTGAATCCAATTTCAGAAAAAAAACAAATATCATGTTACGATATTCATATGAATGGTCTATTTTTTTCTTGTTTTTCGTGTTTGGATGATGAAAATATATTTTTTTTTTCAACGAGTTCATTAGGTTTTCGAGGTGTGTGTGTCAGTGTAAAGTCAATTTATTGTTTATTGTATTTATGGCTTCTGTTTGTCGTTTGTTTCATCATCATCATTGGTGTACTATGGACATTTGTTGTCGTGAATATTTAAAAATAACAGGCTTATAAATATTCACGCACACACACACTCAATATTTATAAACGGTTAAACTGAATTTCGTTTTTTTTTCGTTTGAAAATAAATGAATACACCTGTGTGCTGTTGTTGATGTGTGTTTTTTTTTCAACAAATAAATAATAAAAATGGGTGAATGATACTTTTACTCTAGACAACCCTAATGATGATGACGATGTCTTGAAAAGTCATGTCATTAGTCAATGAAATGACATGACATGATGGAATATAATTAAAATATTGTGTTGTTGTTGTTGTGTCGCCAAAATTTTTAGCAATAAGAAAAACGAAACAAAAAAAAATCGTGATTACCATCGTTAATGTTGTTTAAATAGACATATAATAATGTAAATAAAAACAAGAAAAAACAATTGTTTGAATGTGTGTGGGAAGTGGCAGATCATCACTACTTTTATAATAATAATAATAATTTTTCGTTTAATTATGTCACATTGAAAATATCAATTGATCATGATTGACACACACACACACACGCAGATCCTAGTGGCCAGTTTTGAAGTTTTGAATTGACCACAATTGATAATTCAATTTATTCCAATAATAATGATAATTTGGCTGTCAATTATTTTTGTTCTTTTTTCCAGTAATATAATAATGATTTGGCTAAAAATAAAAAACAAACACAAGCCCAATTGACGTTTTATTTTCATTCTCTTTTTATCTTATCAATATTATGTGAATGAAATTGAGTCAATCCAAAAAAAAGAAAAAAATTAATTAGTTGAATCACGAGGGAAATTTTCTGGAAAATAATTCAGAAGTTTTTCATAATTTTTTTTTCGTAAAAATTTCTCCATATAGTGAGAGAGAGAGAGAGAGAGAGAGAGAAAGGAAAAAAATTCGTAAAGTTCAAAACTCTTCAAGTTCAATTTTTTTTCTTTCTCTCACATTCTATGACTGTTGTGTACGTTTTGTTTTTTTTCCATTTTCAAGGGCCCAATTTTTATTTTATTTAGTCACATCAATTTTTTTTTGTGGATCAAAAATAAACAGTTCCAACAACGGCAGAGAGAGCGAGAAAGTGTTTTTTTCTCCATCAAGTTGTTAAAGGTCAATGCTACACCGAATAACTAAGGGCCCATTATTCATTATTCAAGTTTCATGAATGAATCCGTTCGTTTTTTTTTTTTTTTTTGATTCAACAAGTTTTTTCCCTATTGTTGTTGTTGAATGATGATAAAATTAAGGAAACCAACCACGCACACACACATCTTAACAAGTTGGGGAAAAAGATTCAAAATATTAAAAGTTTAAAAGATGAGAAAGCAAAAAAAAACTTTTTAGATTTATCTGCAGTGTTTCATAATAAAATGAAAAGTTTCCAGAAAAAATTTTCCAGAAATTTTTTTTTGAGTAAAAATAACCCAGAGATAGCACTAGCTTGGCATTTTTCATTGTGAGTAAAAATTTAAGCCAATGTGAGTGATAATCAGAGCAAATCTCTTAATGCTCCATTGATAAAATCCGGACAGCACCACCTTATATAATAACCGGATCTTGTCAATGTCAAGACACATTAAAAAAAACAAAATTTTACTCGTTTTGTAATTTTAAAGATTGAACTTGTCCACTTTAAGTATGTGTTAAGTTTTTTTCTGACAGTTTTTTTTGATCACAAAATAAAATTAAACACAAAACTTTGTGAAAAAAATGAAGGTCAAAAAACTTTTTCTTTTTCTTTTCATTTTGCTTGTTTGTTTGTTTGTTTGTTGACCTGTATTTTCAATGTCAAGACCAAATAAATGAATTGAATAAATTAAAAATTGAATGTCTGACAGTAGAAAACGTTGTACGTATATATAATTTATTTATTTTTTTTCATCTTTGTCGTCGTTGTTGATTTACAACGAGCTGAAAAATTATCTGGAAACTATAGTGAATGAGAGAAAATAAAAATGCTACTCAATTGCTGATCATAAGCGCTCGTGCTCAACTTTGTATTATTATATCACAGCGATAATTGAGATTTGAACCTTTTTTTGTCAGACCAAGTTCAAGTTCAAATCTTGTTGTTGTGTGTTCCATAAAAAAAAAATATTGTGACTATGCGGCATAGCATCAAATATTTGAAAATTGTTTTGTTTTCCGCCAAATCCATATCGGATATGGCCATCATTTTATTGCGAATTGTCATTGGAATTTTTTTTCGTTTCGTTTTGTTTTTTCCTTTTCAGAGGGAAAAAAATGAGGAAAACCGAAAAATTTAAAATAAATGAAAATTTAGTCTATTAAAAATTTAAGTAAAAAAAACAAGGAAACAGATTGACTTTTCGTTGATTGTGATGGACAAATGATCTATGATGCTTGAAAAACATCCACAACAGTGTTTCGTTCAATTGATTGATTCGATCAATCAATCAATCACTCAATCTCTAAATCATTCGTGCAGCGACAAAATGACCATATATTGTTATTATGTTTGGCCTTTTTTGTTGTTTTTGATTGCGGCCATTTCTCTCTTTATTTATCTCACTTTCTGTCATTTTTGATTTGAAAAAAAGAGATGGAAAAAATTTTGAGGTAAAAATCATCACCCATCAATTGTTTTAACCTTCAAAATCATATCCAACAAAAAAAAATTTAGATCAATTGAATTGTGTAATTTTTGAGATATGTTGTTGCTTCAGCTGCACTTGAAAATCGATTGATTGGCAGTAATTTAAAAAAAAACTTACATTTAAGCCATGCAGGTACATATTTCATACCAGGATGGCTGAATTCATTTCCATTGTTACATTCTATTTCTGTTTTGTTGTTCGACACTGTCGTTGTAGTTGTGTCCGAATGTTTGTTTTGGTTTTGAAATTGTCCATAATAATCATTAGCCAATAATGATTGCCAATTGATACTTTTCTCCAGGCTTATAAATGCTTTACGATCTAATAATGTATCAATTTTACTGCCACTTTCATTAGTGGAAGTGGTATTTCCGCCGGTTGTTTTTGTCATCTGATTATTCCCCATTTTCTGTTGTTGTTGATTTAATTTTGTTGAAATTATTCCGACTAGTTCGGAATTTCTTTCCAGATAAATTTCATCATTACCACCTGGTTTCATTGTACGACGTTGTTGTGCACTAAATATATGATGATTATTATTATTGATAATCGATCGATTTGATGATGATAATCGAAGAATTGACTTTGATTGCTGATTTTGTTGTTGTTTTATTGGTGATATTGTTGGTTTTGATTGTCGAATTCCATGAATTGATGATGATGAATTATAACTGTGTGGATTCTTTTGTGGTTTTAATTTTTTCTTCTGTTGTTGTTGTTGTAGATTATTGTTGGTAATAAAACCAATAGAATTCGATGATTGGATTGATCGATAAAAGTGATGATGATGGTGATGATTCGGTTGATGAGTGAAATTTCTTTGCAACGAAAACACTGATGATGATTGTCGAAAATGTTTGTGATTGTTTTTTCTGATAATGATGATGATGATAATTAAAATATATTGATGGTGATGATGACATGACATTAATGATTGAATTGGCCATTTAATAAATGAATGAACACACACACACACACAGAGCTACATTTGAAAAATTGATCCAGAATCAAATTTATCAAAAAAAAAATTGGGAAATTTAATTTTTTCCACGATGACACTTTACTTTGATGATGACAAAATTTAGATTTGCAAGTATTTTTCTTTTCTTTTCTTACTTTATTGAAAATTTTTTATCTTATCAACCTGCAATCAATCGATTGATCAGAACTAATAATAAAAAGAATTATATTTCGAGAAATCATTTTTATATCTTTTGGAAATTATCAACATTATCGTCTGTGGTGATGGTGATGAGCCGCCATCATCATCATCATCATCATCATCATCATCGTCGTCGTTTGGCCAAGTTGGCTGTGAATTGGTTATTATTATCGTTCATTTTTTTCTGGATAATCGATTGATTGATCAATGAAAGAGAAGAGAGAGAGAGAAAAATGAGAAAAAAAAGCACCACAACAACCAACGAAAAAGATCCATTGTATTTATTTGTGGATATTGATATGATTGGGTTATTTTTAGAGATATTGAATATCATCTTCAATGGTTTTTTTCTTTTGTAAAAAAAATTATTATCCGAAAATAAGAAAATTTACCGATTTAAATGATGATGAATACCAAAATTGATGAATTTGATGATGATAATAATTGACTTTAGGTCAAACACAACAACAACAAAAATATAGGTCTTTATCATTTTTTTAAAAAAAAAAAAACTGACAATGATGATGATGATGATGATCAATGATTTGAGATCAATTTTTTTTGTATTTTGAAAAAAAAATTATTGATTGATTCATAACAGAAGAATTTCAGCAACAGATGATGATGATGATGATGATGATGAATAATTATAAAAGAATCCAAAATGGATTTCATTCAAATTGTTTTGTTTGTAGTCTGTACATGTTCCAGCCAGACAGACTCAAACACACGATTGATTTGTTTTCCAAAAAAAAATTCATCATCCATCGTTCAACGAAATCGAATAACACCGAAAAAAATTTACTGTTTTTTTCAGCTGTCTGTTTTTTTCTCTTTCACGAAAACATCACCAAACAGCATTAATTCATTTGTGTGTAGACGACGACGACGACAGATGAATGTTTTTCTTTTCTTTCAAACAATGGTCTTGTTTTTTTGTGAAAAAATTGAATTTGAAACTTGTGTGCGTTGGTCGCCAATAAAACAGAGAGATAGATAGCAAGAGAGATAGAGAGAGAGAGAAAATGGGCCGTCTTGTTTTGTTTGTTTGTTTCGAGCATACTTTTCAAGTGTTTTTTCATCGATAAAAACTGCTGCTATATACAACGATAAAAATACGCGTTTGATTGATTGATTGACCACCAATCACTATTACAAGTTTTCATACTTGATGATCAGACCTTGATCTTTGAGAAATCAATGAAACTGGAGCACGGGAGAGGGTTTTTTTTTCTTTGGATACAAAAAGAAAAGAAAAATCTGACAAATCACATACACATATACAACAGTGTTGGGCGTTGTCACATTTCATTTGTATTTCGGTTATTTTGATTATTGTTAGCAAATGAAATTTAAAATTATGAAATTTTGTTGATTGAGCAACAACAACAACAACAACGGTGACATTTGACATTGTTTTATTGTTTCTTTTTGATCTTGATCTGAGTACAGCACTATTGGTAAATTTTATTTCTTTGTTTGTAGTGAAATTGCAACAACAACAACAACAACAATGATGATGATGTGATTGAAATTGGATTTTTTTTTCTTTTTGAATTTTTCTTTTTCTCTTTCACAAATGAAATGATTAGCTAAACAAGGCCTTGACAGTGACATTTTTTTTTCGCCATTACATTGTGCAGGTATATTTGATGATGACATCTTTTTTTCATTTTTGATTGGCCATTGATCTTGTTATTTATTGATCAAGGTTTCAGCATTTGATTCAAATTTTTTTTCTGGCCATTTTCTGGTTATGCAATAATCCAATATATAACTGGACGATGGAAAAAAACCTGTTGTTTGATTATATATTATCCATATTGTTCATGTCGTGTTTGGCTACACATTCCATTCATGTGATGATTTATTTTTTTTTTTTTTCGTTCGTTGCTTCAAAACTATTTTTAGCATTAATTTTCATTTTCATTTTTCTCAATTACCATTTTCATTTCTAGATCAAAACTAGATCATCATGAAATAGACGATGAAAATGTATTTATTTGTTATATCCATGACCGTTGTGTCGTGTTGTTTTTTTTGTGTGTTGTTCTGGTTGATTCGATAATAAATTTTTCACCTACTAAAAAACTAATGCGTTGAATATGACCAGTAAAACTAAAGAGCTAATCCAGCCAGATAGTTTATGATCGACATTTATTTATTGTTTGACCTAAATTTTGGTTACAATTGTCAGTTACAATACGATACATTTGGATTTCCGATTCACACACACACACACACTGTGTGATGGTGATCATCATAATCATCATTATCAGTGATCGTGATTTTGTTATAAATTTGATTTTTTTTTTTTTGGTTGTTCATCACATGTTACCACCCGCAGCATCTTTTTTTTCATCGTGTGAAAAAAAGTAGCAATTTCATTCCTTGTTGTTGTTATTGGAAAACGAGCTGCTTGGCAAACAAATGATGATGATGATCCGATATAAAATTTTATCCGATAAAAGAGATTAACGCTTGCTGTGTTTGTGTGTGTCTAGCCCAATTAGTATTGCGTAATTTTCGTGAATTTTTTTCCCTGAAAATTTATTCGTTGGTTGTGGTTTTTTTTCATTATCATCATTTTTCTATTTGATCGATCGATTGATTGGGATTGATTTTTTTTTTTTTTTTGCTCTGTTCTTGTCGATGTTTGAAGTTAGTCGATAAATTGATTGATCAATCTCGATGAAAAAAAATTGAAAAGTCGATTAAAATATTATCCGCAAGTTGCGTGAAATCAAAAATGTATTGATTGCTAAGGAAGATCTAATCTTTTGATGATTATGATGATGATGATCCGATAAAACAACAACGATCAGGATGATGATAATTGAAAAGTTTTTTTATGTCTAAGTTCACGAAAAATCAATCAAATGAATTGAAATTTAAAAATAGTAACAACAACAACAACAACAACGAAAGATAACCTGATGATGATGATGATGTTTTTAATTTTCAAAAAAATATATCATCACCATGAGCGCCATCTATCGATGTGAGAACAATTTTTGTTTCATTACATTGATAAAAAATTCATTTTTGTTAATACAAAATTTTTGTCATTAAATTTCAATGATGATGATGATGATTCTGCTTCTGCTATCAATGATCGAAACGGTTGTCCCCATGTTAAATGTGAATCACAACGGTCATAGAATTTTGTTTGAATACCTAAATCCAAATGATGAAAATCCATGAAATCGATTTGAATGATCAATCTTGTACGACCATGATTAGCGGCAATACTGATTTGCCTTGCGTCCATTTCGAATGATAATTCAACGCATTCATCATCGTCATCGTAACGACATTGATATTGCATTGGAATATCATTGATTCTTATGGCACTAAATTCAAAATAGAAAATAAATTAAACAAAATTTGATTGAATCACTTATCGCATTACCTGATTGATGATGGTGTTGATTTCAAAACGATTCTAAAACGATAACGATTCTCATTCGACAATTTCAACGTTGATGCACAAATATTTGGCTCAAATCTAGTTCCATCATTCTGCATTCATTGTAATTGAAAATTGTTTTGTTAAATCAAATCATTGAAAAATGGCAAAATTTTACCTTGAAATATATCGTTCTTGATGGATGACTCGATGATGCAGATGATGAATTTAATCGATCACCAAGATCGGCAATAAATATGGAACAAGTTAATTTTTTCACCATCCTGGTTTCAATGTTCTATGCATTGGAATTCTTATTGCCAAAAATTGCCGTATTTTTCCATGAGTATTAATAATAATTAGTGGATTAATTGCCATATCAACGTCATTTTTGTGTGCGATGACAATGTCAAACATAAAGAATAGAGAAAAATAAATGGAAATTCCAAATGCTCATCACGACTAAATCCAAACTAATCCCCGAAATTTTAAATTATAATAATAAAAAATGTGTGTACTCGAACGAAAAAACCGTAAAATAAAAAAAACTTTAATCCGTCGAGTATAGATGGCGCCACGTTTATCAGAATTTTTTTTTCAATTATTTTTCTTGAATGATTTGCATAATATTGAATGAATTTCAACAAAAAAAAAGAAAAAAATTCAATCAAGCAGAAAAACAGTGAAAATGAAAATGACAAAATTCTTCTCTACTTGACGACGACCAATGAGGAAAAAAAATATACCGTGAATTCAAACGAAACGAAAATCAGACACACAGAATTAATTTTCGCTTGACAAAACACACACACAGCAAATACCAACACAAACACAAACTAGAACGCATATTAGATAATGATGAAATAATTTTTTTGGATTCATCTCCTCTATTTTGTACGAAAATGTAATCGAAAAAACTTGAAAGAAAGAAAGAAAGAAAAATTTTCATTTTTCTTTTACTTCATTCATTCATTCATTCATTGTAAACGAATATATGAAATTCATCATCGGAATCAGATGCGATGGATGTGCAGAGTTGAAAAAATATTCATCTGTTTCATGTCAGAAGAAAAAACAATGAAATTTCTGCTTCTTTCATTATGTTTCTGTCAAAACTTTTTTTGAGACAAAAATTTGAAAAAGTTCACATTTTTTTTTCTTTTTCGTTCCGGAATTGTTACCGGATTTTTGTATGTCTATTATTGAATGTCACCATTGAAAAGTCAATGTCTTTGTTCAGTGAATTTTTGTTTTGTTTTGTTTTGTTTGCAATATTGATTTTGATTGATCAGTAAAAGTAAGACTAAAAAAAAAAAATGAAATTCAGATCCAAAGTTTTAAAATCAATAAATAAGGCCAGTGGTAATATGATTTGAAAGAAAAAACTTTCACTTCTTTTTTCTTTATATAAAATATTCTATCGATTCGTGAATAATTCTATGTATGTTCCATGTCCTGTCCATCATTATTATCATTATCATCATCATTTTGAAAAAAAGACAAGAAGAAAGAATTGAATAAAAATCAATCAATCGAATGATAACAATAACAACAACAGTATTGACCACACAATGATCGCGTCCATCCACCATTCAAATATAATTCAATAGTTCAATTTCGTATATCGATAGCCAAGAAAAGAAAAATATGTTCCAAATATGATGATGATGATGATGGCCACCATTACATCTTTTATTTTGGCTTCTTTCTTTATGGTCATTATTTTTTTCATCATTTTCAATTCAATTTTCTTTTCTTTGTCATCTTTTAAATGAATTTATTCCATTCATTTCGATTCTCTGTTTGTGTTTGTATGTATCACACATATCGGTTTTTTTTAATATTTGGTTTTCTATCTGTCAATTTTTTTTTCTTTCATTGCTTCACAAAGAAAGAAAGTTGTCGAAAATTGATATATCGATTGATTTATCGCACACACACACACACACACACACACACACCGTGCATTTGTGAAAACCAAATACAGTCCTAGCAGTTACCATATCACACACAAGCAAATAAATTGTCTTGTTATAGATGGATCGATTTTTTTCCGCTGTTGTCCAATTCTGTTCCAAATAAGGGTGTTTTGTTTCCACTTTTTTCCGTTTTTTTTTCTCTATTTCATTTCAGTTTGTTTCGCTTGTTTATATTTATCTGTCAAGAATAATTTCTTGAATTTTGAAATATAACAAATTCGTATGTGAATAGCGATTGTGTCGACGTGTGTGTGTGTGTGTTTGTGTGTTTATTTGTCTAAATTAAATGTTAAATTGAAAGTGGGTGTTTTTATTTTCTTCTGGTTTATTTTGACTTTACTACTCTCTGTTTGTGTGTGTGTGATCCATTTTCATTTGTTTGTCTGTCTTTTGTTAGTTTGTTTGTTGATCATCATTAATTTGTAAATTGATCGAAATGAAATGAGAGATTGATTCGCGTGTCTTGTTCCACTGATGATCATTGGTGATCATCATCATCAATTATAATTGTCATCATTTGTTTTTTTTTATCGTCGGCCATTTTCTGATCATTTAGTGAGTTGTAAAAAACGAATTAGCTGACATTTTCATCTTTGTCAAATGACTGTAATATCATCATCATCATCATCATAATCATCATTCAACCAATTTCTACCTTGAAAAAAACCACCCACTAATGTAGAAATAGAGAAAAAGTTTCCAAGCAATTTAGATTTGATAGAAAAAAAACAATAACAATTATTGATTGGCCGATTTTCATTAAGTTTATCACAATCAAAATGAAAATATTCTCGCAAAAATTGGAAATCAACAACATTGTTGTCTCACTGACATTCATTCAGACTACCAATGGAATTTTGTCACTTGATTTTGGGTTCTTTAATATAAATTTTCAATCACAACAACAATAAAAACAACACCACCCACTCATCATACATTTTTATATTGAACTTTTTTTTTATTTATTTCTTTCACATTTCTATGTATCTGTCTGTGTTGTTGAATTTATTATTTCGCCATAACAACATGGATTTATTGGCTTAAATTTATTGTTTTTTCGTTTTTTGGTTTTTTTTTTGTTGCTGTTGTCATCATCATCATCACCATCATCGATTCTATTTATTTTCATTTCATTCATATATGTGGTGGTGGATTTTTTGCAATTTTATTTTCTACAATTTTCATGTGAAAAAAGATAGAAAAGCTGACAGATCGACAAATTTAGGATTGGCGGACGCATGAAACAAATCCCGAATCGAAATGAAGATCGCAAAATTGTTGAACACGGCAATGGTGAGGGGAAATTCTTTGTCATTTTTTTCCTGTCTATTTATCGGTTCCAATCATTTAATTCGATTCATCTGCCATATCCATGAATACAGAATTTTGATTTGTATTTTTTTTGTGTGTGTGTGTGTGTGTGTGTGTGAGGCACATTGATCCAATCTTTGTTTTTGTTATTAACAAACTTTTCTTTTGTCTTTCATTCTCAATCTCTTGCACAAAAACCCAATCATATGAATCTAGGCCAAAGTGAACAAACACACACACACACACATATGGATCATGTTCCTGAATCTTCTTTTTTTTCGATTTGATTCGACAGATTTATATATAACTGTAATTTTGGCGAAATTGTTGAAAAGATTGATCCCTTATTTGACACGAAAACACTGACATTGCTGTTGTTGTTGTTGTTATTGATAAAAGTCAATCGTCAAATTGTCAATCAATGGTTGTTTGAAATCTATGCTATTCAAAGAATTTACAAACGAAAAAAAAAATTACACACACAGTTCAAGATCATAAGATTAGCCCAAAATTTTCGGTCCAGATTTTTTTTTCTTCTTGATTGATCAATCAGACTCACAAAACACACACAAGATGGATCACATGATTGGAGATTTTACTTTTTTTTCTGATTGAAATGTTTTTTGGATCCAAAACTACATTTCTTTTTTGTTTGATTTGCTTCAATTTCGTTTCCTGGGTGAAACAAAAACCGGGGTGACTCGGTTTTTGTTTTCGGTTTTCAATTCATTTTTGTTAATCGGAGCTTTTTGGGATTGTTGTTGTTGTTGTTGTTTTTCTAATTTTGCACATTTGATTCATTCGATCATTTTTTTTTGTTCGTTTGTTTGGTTGAACGAATTTTGTTAACCCGAAAGTTTTTACACAAGAATTTTGGACGAGAAAAGTTTTCGCAAAAAGTCATGTTTTTTTTTCTCGTCGTCGTCGTTGTTGTTGTTTCAGAAAATGATTGAATGAAGAATAAATAGCTGTTTTTTCCGCTAGCTTGTAGTACCAAAAACAACAACAACAACAAAAACAACTTGAAACAAATCAAGAGTAAATTAAGTAATTGAATTTCTCATTTTCGTTAAGTTTTTTTCTGGCTTTTGTTGTTGTTGTTTTTGCTTTCGGCTGAATCAATTTATATATGCGAATTGTATTGAATTGAATCAAATCAATCAATTCGGTCTTTCGGTTTTTGTTGTTGTTGCTGTTTTCGGTATACGGTTTTCCACTTGAACAAATTCAAGTTTTGTGTGTTTGTATCGATCCATTGTTATGAATGTTTCACACCCCGATATTCACGCCCGTTGAAAAAGTGAATAAAAAATCAGACAGAATTCATCTCATTCACTAATAATAATCAGCAGCAGAAATGATAGATTCAATTTGTAGAATTAAATTTTTGCCCAAATGACGATTTTCAGTGGGTATAAATTTAAACCAAACGAATTCAAATCAATCAATGAATCAGCATTATTTTTTTCTTGCAAAAAATGTTAATGATCGACTTGTAATGAGATGTATGGTTTTTTTTCATCACACAGAACAAGCAAGTTTTTTCTTGTCGATGAAAATTGTCATTTCCATTTAAACATGATGACTATTGCAGAAAAATTTCATGTAAAAACTATGAATTTTAATCAAATTTCCTGAATAAGCGTATGGCTAATTTGTTTTTTTTTATTCGCAAAATGAAAAACGAAAATTTGATTAAGCAAAGTAAATTTTTTATTTTTATTTTATTGATAATTTCATTGAATCCATCAACAACAGAAAAAAAATTGTTAAATTTTGTAACAGAACAAAAAAATAAATACACTGTGTTTGTATATGATGAACAATATAAGTTAATAATAACAGTTTTTTTACATAATAATATTCTCACGAATTTCAGAATAATAATGATGATGATGATGATGTAAACACAGAATGTAAAATTTTCATAATTTTTTCTCCATTTTTTTTACCGAATGGAGCTTGAAAATAATCGTACCTGGAAAAATGTTAGTCTAGTTTTTTTTCTTTGAAATGGAAATTGTGGTCGATTTTGAATGAGAAAAAAAATTTTTTTTTCTTTTGCCATTACAAATTCCATGTTTGATCGTTGGTTGGTGTTCCAGATGTATTTCACATTTATTTATGCAATTTTCGTTCCGGTTTGGTCTTTTAGAGACTTGAATACATTTTTTTCAGTTGCCATTCACACACACACACACACACACACACACACACATCATTTGTGTTTAGTGTTGTATCAGTTGGTTTTTTTTTTTTGTATTTCTGGTTTTGGTTTTTTTTTCATCTCTCTGATCATGACCATTGTGTGTGTGTGTGTGTGTGTGTGTTTGACACGAATATATGAACATTGTGTTGTTGTTGCGTGTGCGTGAGATTTCGACTTAATTTCATTGCAACTTAATCTTTTTTGATTTTAGGATTCCAAATATAATAATAATGATGATAATCATTGATTATTGCACACAACTAAGCTTCGTGACTTTTTTTTATTCTTGGTTAATACATTAAGAAACTAAAATAGAATTTGGTTCCGCGCTAGCAACATAACAGAAAATGAAACTTTTTTCACAGAATCTAGTGGATCGAAAATGGAATAAATTGTAATCGAAGATCATCGTTTTTTTTTTTTTTGCTCTCGTTAATCTTTTTGTAAATCTCTCTTTCTCTCTTTGATCGATTTGTTACAGAAAAAAAGAAATGAAACAAATAAGGAAAAAAACTTTTTGGTACATTGATCGAAAATCATTTTCATTTTCATTTATTTTTATGAATAAACAGCATGAGAAATTCGAGAATCAAAAATCATGTGAATCATGGTAAAAATAAATCAATTTTCCTAAGAATTTGCAGTTTTTTTTCTTGTTTTTTTCTCTGAATGTGTGACAAAAATGTCACAAGCAACATGAGAGCGACAGAGAGAGAGAGAGAGAGAGAGAGAGAGAGAGAGAGAGAGAGAATAAAGTGAATTTGAATCAAGTTCATATTTCAAGGAATCATAAATCATTTCGATGGTTTCGTTTGTAGAATGAGTGAGTGAACGTTTGCTGTTTAAACATAATGTTGTTGTTGATTTATCCATTTTTTTCCCGTTTCGTTTTGGTAATTTATTGGATTCGAATTTATCTTGTGATTTATTTCAGCTTGTGGTTTGTCTCTGTCAAAATCAATTTGATCAATCAATCACCATCATATTCATTAAAATCACTTGTACTACGATGATGTCTCGGTATATGATGATGGTGATGATATGAATGATGCGGTTGTTGTTGTTGTTGTTGTTGATGGTGAAGCGGATGGAATTGTTGTTGTTGTTGTTGTTGATAATGATGATATTGTTGCTGTTGTTGTTGCTGCTGTTGAGAATGATGCGATTGTTGTTGTGAGTATTGACGCTGAAAATGATGCGATGGTTGTTGTTGTTGTAATTTTTGTTGAAAATGTGTCAGATACAGTGCAGAATAACCACAACAACGTGCACGTAATTGATCGATTGTCGTACAAACCGAAGCAATATATGATTCTTTTAAATTGAAACATTCACATAGTAATACATAAGTGAAACCGGTGAAAATTGTCGGTTTCATTTTACTTTGTTGATGATGATTAGTCATCAGATCTTCACGATACATATCTGGACAACGTTTCAGAAATATCAGCCTTCGTAGCCCTACACATGTTGGTAGATATTTATACAGTATTCGTGCACCTAAGAAAGTTTTCAGCAACGAAAAAGAACGGAATAAATAAACAAGTGATTAATAATAATAATGAAAATGGGAAATTTTCTTGAAATTTTTCAATGGCCAATTGGGAATTTGTTTTCAAAACATTTTTGTTCATTTTCTCTTTGTGTGTCTGTGCAAATGTTTTTAACGTCGTTTGTTGATAGATTTAACAAATGTGTGGGTGTGGATGGCTGTCATTGATTTGATTTTAGCAGAGTTTTGCATTAAATAATCTTCATAAATCTTAATAAAACTACTTAATCACTTGTTCTGATTCTGATTTATATACACTACTACAGTGTAGCGAAAACCGAGTGCAAGTAAAAGCTGTAAAAGTTAATTAATCGATTTGGATCGATAATAGAGAGAGAGAGAGAGAGAATTATTGGTAAATTTGATTGCCTGTTAATAATGATATCGTCAATGGTTGAGAATAAAATTATATAACCAGAATTTGGGGATGTTAACTAATTTTTTCTTTCTCCAACATGTCAATTTTGTCGATGAAATTTTTTTTGTTGTTGTTGTTGCATCTGTCCAATCGATGTGCAAACACTCGGACACACATTAATGATGTACATGATGAAAAGTAGTGGTAAGTGAATAATGAACAGAATTAGAATTTTTTCCCGTTGTTGTTTGTTTGTTTGGTTCATTTGTCAATGATCATGATGATGATGATCAAAATCAATAATTTTGTTTATAATAACCACTTCCATCATCATCAGAATCATTACTGTTTTTTTTTGATAATAAAGTTTGAACAATTCTCTATTGCCACATACATCCAATTATGAGGGAGAGAGAAAACGAAAGAGAATCCATCATTCATTTTGATAAAAACCTGAAAAACGAAAAGAATCCCGGCATCATACACACACACACACACACACACACACACCGATAGAGCACACCAAACGTAACCTAAATACTTTTAATGAAATTATGGCGAAAAATTCTTTCCAATAAACTACTACTAATAACAAACGAAAGAATAGAAAAAGTTTCATCATCATCAAAATAATCATCATCATTATTATTATCGGTCGGTTGTAGTTATTATCATCATCATCATCATCATTATTGATGGTGAGTTTGGTTAGTTTTCCCTGTTATCCCAATTCCATTCCATTCAAGTCTCGATGATCTAATTTTCATTCATTCATTCATTCATTTTTTTCTGTGTTTCAAAATGAGAAGAAAAAAAGCTTTTCACTTTGAAAATTCACAATTCATTCATTTAATGGGCTTGGCCCATATGTGGTGGTGTGTGTTTTTCATTGTTTGATTCTTGTTTGCTGGTTTTTTTTCTTCATTATTCTCGATCATTCATTATTTTATTTCCTGTCATCATTCACTGATGATGATGATGATCTTGATCATATGCATGGTTTTTTTTCTCTTTTCTATTTTGAATATTTAATGTTTTTGTGTGTGTGTGTGTGTCGATTTTCCAAATTAAGACACGATCCAAGATTTGATTCTCGATTCGTGTGTGTTTGTGTGTTATTTTGATAATTTTTCGATAAATTTTTCTCACTTTCACCCTCCTCATTCATTCATTCATTCATTGTGTGTAATGATGATTGTCTTGGTTTGAAAATCAATTTGGCGTTGTTTTTGTTTTCATGACTTTTTTTCTTGTCATTCGTTTTTTTTCTTTGATTAGACGCCCAAAAAAAACTGTTTTTTTCAAGGAAGATCAAGTTAGATTCATTTTTTCTCTTGATTTGTATCTTTAGATTTGATTTCATTATTTGTCCAACACATACCTATCACACATCATAGGTGTTTTGCCCTTTGGGTGAATGATTCTGGTGTGAATCATTATGTGTAATTGCTTTTCTTGTGATTTTCATTCAATCAACAAAAAAAACTGAAAAATGTTCATGTGGATAGATAGTCGAAATTTTTCTTTCGGGCAGCAACAACAGCAGCAGCAATCATCATGCTGATGATGATAATGATGATTTGAAATTGAAAAATTCAATTTATTATTCACGCACACCCAAACACAAGTGTGAAATGAGCAGAAATGAAAAAAATATTGCAATGGATCGATTAATCAATCTAAATGTTTTTTTATGGTGCTCACAAATTGTTTTGTTGCTGGTATATACACACACACACACACACACACATTCAGTATAATTTAATGATGTTTGATTTGATTTGATTTTCAGTTAAAAAAACGAAACTTACCGGTCCAAAATAACCAATTTTTTTCTAAACGATCACTATCTTCACCAGGAAATGTTGCAAACGCTGATACAATATAACCAGCTGGTCTTGATGATGTTTGATGATGATGATGATGATGATGATTTGATGTTGTTGCCGATTGTTTCATTGATGCTGTATCTTGAAATGAAATATGTTTTCCTTGTCCAGGTTGATGATGATCGAATGATGATGAATAATGATTGTTAATATCAGAATAAAGATATTCATCAAATTCACACGGAACACCGGAACCGGGACGAACAATTGATGCACAAACCGTATACAATCCATCAATATAACGTATTTCAGGCCATATATGTGGCATTAATAATGGTGGTGGTGGTGGTGGTAAATAATGACTATTAACACTATCACGTTGTTTTTGTGTGATCCAATGTTCTTCTTCTTCGGGACCAGCACCCATCAATCTTCGATCATCATCATCAATATCATTATCATCCAATAAATCATCATCGATAATATCATCTAACAAATCACCACCATTACCACCAACGATTAAATTATCATCATTATCATCTATACTATATACTGTTGATGAATTATGACTTAATTCACGATGATATCGATGATGATTTCCAGTTGCTGGTGCTGAGGTTTTTGTTGCTGTTCCAGTTGTTGTAGCTGTTGACGATGAACATGATGATGATGATGATTTTGATAACAAAGTTGAAATGGCCGCCGTTGGTTCCGGTGTGCAAAGTATTATAAATGGATATTTTGATTTACGTTCAACATTCATTAATAATTGTTGTTGATCTGGTTTCTCGAAACGTGAACACAGATGACGCATATGTTTCGATGTCCATTCCTGGTAATATTGTGTACCACCGGTTGATGTTGGTGAACGTTCACCTTGTTGTTGTTGTTGTTGTAATATGGAAGGTATCGATGGTGGTAATAATGGTGGTTGTTGTTGTGATGATGGTAGTGATGGTGGTGGTAATGAACGTTGTTGACCACCACCACCACCACCAATGGCACGTACTGGTGATGGTAAATCAGGCGGTTGAAATATACAAGCTTCAACAAATGTAATACGATGTAATTTATGTGCAAATGTACTAAGGCCACGATGATGATGATCATTATTATTACGATATGACGATGATGATGGTGGATGTGACCATTGATGGTGATTTAAATCATTACCACCAATTGATAATGGTGATGAACGTTTTGTTGAATCATAAATTGGTGGTGATATTAATGGTGCTTGTAAATGATGTTGATTATTGTAATTATTATTTATTGGATAATTAAATGCCATCGATTGACTATTGCCACCTCGATGGTTCGAGTAATCATCATAAACACGGCCATATGATACACGACCATTATTATGTTGTTGTTCATAGCTGATTTGTTGATCATTTTGGTGATAATTATTTGTATCATTATCCGGTCGATTATAATAATCATCATAACCATAGTAAGATGATGATGGTTGTCTTTGTTGTTGTTGTTGTTGCTGCTGCTGATGTTCAGGATAATCATGATTATAATATGCATATGGTGGCGATGATGCTGATGGTGATATTTGTCCATAATATTCTGGTATACCATAATTTGTATAATAATCATAATAATCACCCGATTCTGATGGCAATGGTGGATTTGTATCAATTTCATAGCCACTTATCAATGTACTTGGTGGTTTTTTTGGTTTCGAACCTCCACCCCCGCCGGTTGATGATGATTGGCCAGAATCTTTTTGTTTTGAACTACTTGAATCGTTCATATGAAAAAATAAATGTGTATTTATATGTTTCGACATTTTGTTGGTTGATTGAAATTCGAATTATTTCATTTGGCACACAAAAAAAAAATTTAGGAAAATTTCTTGAAAAAAATTATTTACGGAAAGTTTTTTCCTGGAAAATTTCTAGTAAAAAAAAAATTCAAAATGAAGAAGAACCAAAAGTTTTCATTTTTATTCGATGATTTGAAATTTCAAATTGTGTGTGATTTGAAAAATTTTTCGCTCATTCAATAATGATTGATGATTATCGATCTCGATCATTGGAAATTGAATATTTTTTCCGTTACCAGTATTGGAAATGATTCTAAGAAATTAGAAAGAAAAAGAAATGAAATTATTATTCAGAACTGAAATAATAGAAAAAAATTTGATTATGACCAATGGTGATTTTCGGAAAATTTCTCAGTATTTCTCTTGGCTATGAGAATTTTTTTTTTATATTTCTGTTTCTTTTTGTGGGTCACATGAAGATGTTGAAATTGAAAAATCGATTCAACGAATGCAATTCTCAGAAGAAAATCAATCGATCTTTCTAATGATCAGATCAGGTCATTCATTTTTATTTGTCCATCAGATTACAATTTTCTTTGTAAATTGACCAAGAAAAAATACTGAAAATCGATTCTTACTGTCGAATCAGTTTTAATGACCACAGGCTACGATTATCGATACTTTATTCTCGATTTGTGATCGATTGTTTTTTATTTTGTATCAACGAAATCGATTTGGATCAAAAGAAAAAAAATTCACAGACAAGACAATGCCAAAAAAGTAAAAGATTCATCGATCTTTTCTGGAGATTCTGGGTTCCTTCATTTTCTGGAAAGAATCCAAAAAGTGCTTGAAGATGAATTTTTTTTTTTTGGTTCGTGCTATAATCAAATTCGAGTAGAAATCACTTGAAATGAATTTTTGTTCCGGAAAAATTTGTTCCAATAATTTGTTTCAAAAACATCACCAAAAACTTGTCTACGTGTCTCATAGATAATGTAGTGGTGATGGTGGCGAAATTGATTTCATTTTGCCGGTTGAATTGTTGTTGCCTCTATCATCATCATCATCAGCATGGATCAATCGTATTGATCGATTGAATTTTTTTTTTAAATTTTCAATTTCAACATTTTTTCAGGCCAACCGATTAAAGACACACATGAACACACAAGATCAATAGATTTAAATAAATCGATCGATCATTGGGTTTATTCAAAGAATCGTGTGATTTGATTCGAAAATTTCAGCATATCATAATGTAGTGTCTGAATTTTTTGTTTTTAACCGATTCAATAGCTTAGAATTTCATTCGTTGAAATTCATTAAAATTCAATTTCTATAAAAAGGATTTTTTTTTCTCATTTTTTCAGCCTAAAAAAACCATAAACAAACGAAAAAAATTCTTTTTTGAAAGAAGATGACAACAACAACAACAACAATGACTGACAATGAAATGTGTGAGATAAACCAGAACAGAAAAAAAACCAAAAAAACAAACAAACCCGAAAATGGTGCAACAGAACAAAACAAAAAGCGACAGTAATAATAGAAATGGAATGAAACGAAATGAATAAAAATTCGCTGATGCAATTGAAAAAAAAGGTGCTTGATGATGGATAACGAAATTCTAGAAGAAAGGGAAAATTCTCCAATAAAAATATGGTTGTTCTGATGATGATGATGATGATGATGATGATGCGCGTTTCAATCATTTTTTTGTTACAGAATCGAGAATACTTTTCAGAATTTTTTTTTCGGTTATATTACATTACATCGAATGTTATGTAATGTAATTGGCAAAAAGAAGTATTGCCACCACTGTTAGAGTAGAAAATTTTTTTTCGCTTTGATTCCATTTATTTCTTTTTAGTTTTTTTTCGGTAGCGAAATATATTCAAATTCTTTTCAACAATCTGAATTTCATAACGACGACGACGACGACAACAACAACAACAACGACGACGACGACGACGACGAATAATAATACCCAAATGAATCTCAATTTTCCTTATCGGTGCAGAACAAAATTTTGAGTGAAAAAAAAAAAAAAAAAAAAAATTTGAATTTTTTTTCAAGAAAAAATAGAGTAAAGATTTTGAATTGTAATAAATTATTTATTTAGTTTTTTTTTTGTTGAAACGAGAACGAAAAACGAAACATTCGTGATGAGAAGTGAAATGAAAATAGAGACCATATAAAAAGTAAAACAAACGACCAAAGAAACTATTATTATTTTGAATTGAAATTTTTTTGTTCAAAAATAAAACAAAATCCAATTTTATTTCGATGCGGAAAAAAATGGGAATAAAGAAAATTCCTATATATATTCGTCAATGGTAGATGTATCGATTGTATGGTGATGAAGATGTCGATTGTGTTGATCTTGAATGTTTTTTTTTACTACCATGAACAAGCAATCAGCGACAATCAATCTTTACCAATTAATTTAAAAAAAAAACAGTAAAGTGAGAAAATTTTTCAACACACCTCCTACAAAAAAAAAGAAATGATGGTGATGGTGATGATAAAGTCATAAAATATATAGTGGTTGTGTGTGGGTGGTGTTTTTACTGCTTCATAAAAGAAAATAAAAAGTTTCATCAACAACAACAAACAACAACAACACTGAGAATGTGTTATTTATGATAATTTTTTACTATGTTTCTCTTGACTTATTTTTTTCCATACCAGCAACAACTAAACTGTGAATGTCGAATGAATACCAGAGAAAAAAAAACTTTCAAAACGTCACCAGAAAAAGAAATCATCAAGTCCAAAAGAAAAAAGTTTATCAACTCAACTACTTGTAGTGGTACATTTTTATTATTCCAAAATCACATTTAGTAGTTCATGGAAAGTTACAAACATGAAGAAAAAAAAAATAAACCGGAAATCCAAAAAAAAAAACAAAATCTCACTGCTACACAAACATGTATAGCGAAAGAATATTCTCGTTTTATTTTCTATTCATTCATAATTACCAGAAATTACCAGAACAAAAAATTTGTTATTCATGCCCAATTCTACAGGGTGATAATGATGATGATGTCTCTTCATTTTTCAATAATGATGATGAAAGTTTTCCATAATTATAATTCATAATTACTATACACAGTTGATAATTGACATTATTAGATTATTAGACTTTTTTTTTTCTCGTTTTGTCCACAAACAGACAAAAAAAAATTAGAAAATGGAAACGAAATATAAATAATATTCATGATTTGATTTAATTATTCTAATTACATTATGGTATATAATTATCATGTTTTTTCTCGTTGTTGTTGTTGTTGTTGTTGATGTTGTTGTTGTCGGTTACAGTATCTATGTATATCACTCAATTTTTTTTTGCAGAATTGCTATCTGGCAAAAAAAAATCAAAAGGAAAAAATAATGAATTGCCTCCCACTACGATGAACTGATGAACAAACCACATTCATCATCATCATCATCATTTTTTTTTTTGTTTTTGTTTCAACCACAATTTTTCATTTCCTTTCACTCATTTTTTTTATTGTTGAAAAGTTATCATTATTTGTTCGTTCGTATACGAAAGGAAATGCCTAATGGAGAAATACGATGATGATGGGCAATCGATATGATAATTGCACGTTTCCGTTTTATTATTTGCAAAGTTATGCAAACACACACTGGAAATATTCTGGTAGATTCTTTTTTCGCCATTGAAATATCATGATTATTCTTGATTTAATAATCAAAAACAGAATGATAATAAACATTATCATTATTATCCTATATGCATGATTTCTATTGCTGATTTTTTTTGTGATCATTATCATGTTTCATAATTTTTTGTTGTTGTTGTTGATAATTCAAGATTGATGACGATAATTTCGAACGATGAAAAAATGAGCGAATGATGAATTGTGAAATGATGAATAAATTGTTTTCTAGAGAATTCGAGCCATCATTATCGTTTTTATTTGTTTGTTTTATTCATTATTCGATGCTTTACATAATTTTGCTTTTATATACAATTTGTATATATCTCATTGATGATGATCCACATAAACAACGAACAAAAAAAAATATATCGTGAATGTACAATTATGGATGGATCAATTGTGGAGCAACAACAACAACAACAAAAACGGGATTTGCTTATTTACGGAAAAAATGTATCCCTAAAGAATATAGAATACTACTGATGAATGTAATTGCATGTTTGTCTTGCAAATGACGTTGTTCACTGAATCAGTGAAGATTTATTTTTTTTCATTTCTATTCTCTTGAATAAATGTCCAACTGTTTTTTTTTGTTTTTGGAAAAAAAATTCTTTAGAAACCTTAACATTTATTCAATTAAAAAATGTTTCATCATCATCATCATAGACCTGCCTGATGGTGGGCCATACCATTTTTCATCATTTTTTTCATGGTTTGAAAAATTAAAATGATAAATTATCCTAATCAAAATGCAAAAACTGAAAACAAACGATGCAAAGCAATGCAATGAATGAATGTTATTCCCAAATGCAAAGTGAATGATGATGAAGAAGAAGAAGAAGAAGGAAAATGTTCTAGTTTCGTGTGCGGTGGTGAGTGATTGTTTCGCGTATTGTTGTTGTTATTGTTTTTCTGCTCTGTTGATCATTATTCAGTTTTCGGTGTACGGTTTTTTGTCTTGGTTTTTTTTCAGTTATTAATGCACCATTTTGGTGATGGTGGTTTTTTGTGCATAATTTTTTTTTCTGGTTTTCGTTTTTTTGCTTTCGTCATTTACGTTTTTGTTGTTATTCCCAAGTTTCCAAAAAAAAAAAAAAAAACATTTCAAATGAATCGATTCCTATCCTATTTCAACATTTCACATTTTTTTTGTCAGAAAACTTATGTTTGTGTAGATTCACTCCCAATAGTTTTAGGGTGTTGTTGTTTTTGTTGAAATTGGATACTTTTTTCAGCTTTCATTTCACAATCCAGAATCGGTGATCTAATTACACAAACACAGTGTTTGTTTGTTTATTTGTTTGTCCATTAATCATATAAAAACAATGAAAATTACCAACAAAAATGCGATAACAAGCGATGACAGTTGTTGTTGTTGTTGTTTGTGTATGTTTGATAGACTGCGGCAGTATTAGATTCATTTTATTTT